TCTTATTTATAAGAGAAAACCATTTCTTACTTCATCTGACCCTGTTTCTGATGGTCTAGCCTTCTTTGGAGCAATAACTGGTGAAAGCGATCCTTCAAAATCAAGCTGCAAGAAATAAAAAGATCAGAAGTAGCTCAGTATTGAAATTCCCAAGGTTGCATAAGTGAATCAGCAATCATATCTGAATTCAAACCAAGCATTACACGACACTGCTTTAGGTACTTCTATACTTTGCTTTCATATAAAACATACTGCAATTAGATTTTTCTACACACGGCTAGTTATTCTAGTGTACGGTGCATGATTTCACAGTTTGACTGCCTAACATCTGGTATTTACTAGGACATAGGAAATACCGTGGATGAGCTAATGCTAGTAATGTAGATACACTAATTGCTTTCATTTCATTTGTACGCATATCCTTGCTGTTGTTTTTTTTCCTGCAAGTACTGCAAACGTACTTGCTAGCAGGAAACCCACTCACAGAAAACTCCAAATACATTCAGTAAAATAGTTGGAAAAAAATAGAACTTTAAACATTGCAATTCAAAAACTACACGGAAAATCTTCTTTAGCAAACAGGAATCAGAGTTGTGATCTGCGTTTCTAGTGAAAACAGGTTTAATACGGATTAGGTGAATCAAATCCTTAATGCATCAGTGTTAGTCATGAAATGGAGTAAAACCTTCATAATCTATTTTATTTGACCAAGACAGTTGGTCGTAGTACCTTATAAATATATTTCATGATAAACAGAGACTAAAGCATACACCTGAAATTTAGAAATGTAGAATTGATTTGATGGCATCTTGTGATTTAAGAGAAGATACAATCTATTTCTGACTTCAGTGTCTCTCTAACCATTTTGAACCTTGAACAATTATCAGTAGCATTAATGTAAGCTAGGAAAACAAACATATGAGATTGCTTACATTACGTGTCCAGGACAGTCTCTCTGTATTGTAACCCATCATATTCATGAGACATGTTACAAATAAATTCCATTCTGAGTGATAGCTTGGTCCTCCTGGAGCATTATAAGCATTGTACCACTTGACAAGCATCTGTACCGCTATCTCCTTGGGCAGGATAGCTTTGACACCTTGCAGACATCTTTTCACTGTTGGAAAAGAAGAAAAGAGTGTGTTTTCCATCTTACCTCCCTGGTACTTCTTCCAATTAGTGCTATAAATCTCTACAGTTCTTGGCAATAAAAGCCACACCACACAACCTCCAACAGCTGTTCCTTTAGTTAAGGTTGAGCACAGCCCCTCTAATTCACCACACAAAGGGGAAAAAAAAGTTCCTTTTTGCTCACTACTGAAAGGAACTTTTGTCTGAACCGCCATCTCAGCCCTTCCTCAAGCAATAATATACACAATAGCAGAGAGCAAAGCAACCTAAAGAACAAAGGACGTTCTAAGAGTGCAGCGGGTGAAGCACTGAAAGCATGCTAGAGCACACCTAAATAAATGGTAGCAGCTCTAGAAGGTAAGTTAATAGAGCTTGGAATATGTGGTACTGAATCATTACAGTCTAAGCTATGCATAAACTACTTCAAAAATGAACCCTCAAAAATTATGGAGCATATTTCCTGTGATGGGACTCTGACTCATACCTAGTTCTGAAGTGGCAATTTCAGGAATTGTAATCCGAACCATCGTATTATTGCTGAGTTCCTGAAAAAATAAAAATTAAAAAAAGGTAAGAGTCAAATTATGAAATGCATCTTTAAGTAAAGCCGGGTCCTTTTCCATCAACTAAGAACTTATTTATATATTAAGCGTATTCCTAATTCTTGACTATTTGCTACACTAAAGATTTGCAACCTCAAACGCTAGCTCCATGAAACACTTGATATGGATCCTGAGCTGAATCACTTGAGGGAATCAATTAAATTCTGTGACTTCAAGGGTATTCTACAGAGAGAAAAATGTGGAGCCACCAACACAGGTGTGACATTTTGCTGTTGGTCAGGAGCTGCTAGCCACGTCTTACTATGCAGTAGAAGTAAACTTGATCCTCACTTTGCTTTGCTAACAAAAGTGTTGACTCAAATTACAGGATAATACCTACTAAAGTTACTCTGTTGTGGACAGGATCTCTCAGAGCGTGAATGAATGTCCCAAGCTGCTGAAAAGTACAGTCTTCAACGTAAGTTGAGTCGTGAAGTTTGGAAGAATCTCTTAGCTCTGGAACTGGTGACAAAAGCACACCCTGAAAAGTGGTAAAAATGATGGCTTAGAATTGTTGAAATAAGAGAATCTGAGCAAAGGACAGCTAAAATTGCCATTTTTAATGTACTGATAAAGTATTTTGAAAACAACTACAAATCCTTCCAATCTCTGCCTCAGAAGTTTTACAAAAATCATAAATAAATAGGGCAGCACTAAACAGATCTTCTTTAAACACTGTTTATTCAGGGGACTTACAGAAGAAAAAAAAAGATTTAGCTCCAAAAGATACCTTGAAAGTTAAAAATCAACCAATCATTTGAAACTGTTACAACTAAACCCTTTCCAAGGCGGGATTTCCTTTCTTCTTACCTCTTCTAGGGGCCCCAGATGCTTATTCAAAGGCTTGGATGGAGTGCTGACACTATCCAAGGGAGTACTTGGCCGAGGCATTTGGTTGGACATTGTCAGGGATGGAGCAGGCAGTCCGGGAATAAAAACCTTCCCCACCTTTTTGTGAACAATATAGAGGAAAACAAATAGTTGGTTTAATGCCTGTGCTTCCACAAGCTTGTTTACGTATACAGACATTATCAGATTTTAACATTTTAAAGCAAAAGTTTTAAGAAAAGTGGCTATGTACTTAAGCTAAAGTCTCTGAAGAGAAGATTAATTACATGAAGTAATCTTTACTTTCTTCAGACGATGACACCGAAAAACCTACCATATATGGTCAGTATTGTACACTATCGCTACAGGTCTACTCCCACTAAAAGTTCTAGCAGGGCTTCACTGAGAAAGCTCTACTTTCAGAAAGTACACTTTTTTTTAATATACATACGTATATATGTGTGTGTATACACACATACACAAATGTGTGTGTACACACACACACGTACGTACAAATTGCACTGTCCAAGGTTTCTGCATATCTCTACAGAATTTAAGAAGAAGTTTTAATTATTTTGGATGAATCATGTCCATCCTAATAACAGCCCTTTGTAAAACAAAATAATTTGACATCTAAAAGTATCTGGCATGCTACAGAGAAGTTTGAAAGTTTTTTGTTCAGGAACAATTCTTATTTTCCATATTCTTGAAGTTTTCTTTCTTTGAAAGCATTTTATCACTTTAGTATTTTACTGTCACTGAAAATAAGCTCAAGAGATTATTTAAGCGTACCACAAGGTGCCACTGATTCTTCAGAACTGCCTTTCCAGCACGGCACATAAACTACACTTGGTACGCGAGCACAGCCACCTTCCCAAGCAAGTCCCAAGCAAGCAGCAGTCTACAGTAGCTTAAAATGATACCTTGTGAGGTATGACGCACACAGGATCCCTCTGCACAGCCCAGCTTGTAACCAAGGATTCAAACATTTATTTTGGGATAGAAAAACTGTTACTTACCCGAACCACTCCAGAATAAAGCACTAGATTTCCACTGCCTTCCAGAACCAGTAGCGTATCAATGCCCTGTAAGAATCAAGCAGCATATTCAGCTTCTTGTATTTAAGTAAAAAGACAACAGTTGGACAAGAAGTGACAGAGCAGGATACTCCACAGTTAATGGTCCATACAGAGGTACCTACCTGCACTGGAGCTGCATCCTTTGCTTGAATATTGGTAACAGAACCAAAGATCAGCTGCGACTTATCGTTGCTCTCTTGAAATTTTACACACCTAGAGATTTGAGAAAACAACAGGAAACATAAAAGGACTGTCCTATCCGCTGTTACAGAAAGAAGACAGAAAATAAAACCCGTGTTGCATGGTGCAGTTACTTTTATTGTGGTATACCTGGTTCCTTCCTCCTTCCTTCGCTTGTTTTGCCCTCCTAGTCAACTTATTTTTACTCTGCTAGTCTAATTAAAACCCCCAAAGTACTTCTAAAGGGTAAAGATGAAGATAAATAAGAATACCATTCAAATTACAGTGAACGTTCTCTCACAACTTCAGTTTTATTTAAATAGCCCAAATCATCTATGCCACCACATGCCATGCAAGAGCCAGTGACGCACCACATGTTGTCATAACAGATTCCACTAGCTGGAGGAATAAGCATGTTAAAACCCATATCTAGCTGGTAATTTCTAGAGTGCTCCTCTTTGTTCACCTGTCCCCAAGATAGGGATGCTCACCGCAGCTGGAGCTGGGATTCCACTAAAAAGCACAAGAACTTCTGCCCACAAAGGTCAGTGGTAATAAACACTTTTGATGCTTGGGAATTCTTCTCTCTGTAAAAGAGACACAATGATCAGCACACTGTTTGGTCCACTATAAAAATTTTAATGAAGGAAAACACAGTGTCCACAAGCTGTAGGGTCACACTGGACTTCAGTTAGCAGTGCATCGAGTTGCCAGAACACACCAGTCTCAGTTTCAGTCATTACTCTTAAAACTGAAGATTGGATTGCCAGAAAATCACATTCCCCACTTTTTGGCATGCAGAGCACATGCTACTTGGCTTTGTTCTCCTGTTCAATCTTAGGGTTTGAGCTGTGTTTTGCCCCTTTTGATGGTAACAGAGAAAGAGATACTCCCCCTAGGAGATCAGAAAAACCCCAAAGCAATGACCAGGTTAGAATCTACTTTGCTTTAGAGATCTCATGAAACCATTGCCCCCACTCAGAGGGCCATGGATAACGCAAGAGGCAAAACTGTTCCAAGCACCCAATTCTCTTTTGAAGGGAGTTAGACACTTAGTGAGCATCATTTTTCAAAAAAAGTTAGAAGTACAAGTCCATGAAATCTACTTTAAGGTGGCACCATTTGCAGAAAACACATACTAAAATAAGCTGTCATTTTACTTTATTCCCCCCGCCCCCCGCAATGGAAATCCAGAATTTCTCATATCCCAACACAAGCACCTAACCTCATGTTTGTGACGGTTTCTGTCCACAGATGATCTATACACAGCTCGGGAATAATTGGTTCAGTTTCTGGTATAAGGAAGGAATCACTGGAAGTGCTGTTTGGTGAATGGGTAATACTGTGCCTCTTCGGTGACTGAGCGTTACTGGAAAAGTTGAACCTCTGCACTCCTGAGAACGAATGCACTCCCAGGGCAGGGGAATGAGAGCGGCTGCAAGCAAAGACATAAGACACTACTGAAGAGTGGATTTTCAAAATCTGGTACAGAATCCCAGGGAGCTCATACACTGGTAGAGACTTCAAAAACAAACCAAAACCACCTTAAACCAGTAGCTAGTTTGGTATTAGTTTCCTCTAGCAATACACCCCAGCATAGGAAAATAATTATCTAATTAATTTCCAATAATCTTTGTCAGAATCCAACAGATAAGATTTCAAAAGAAAGAAAACCAACATTTTAAGTTGCGTGGTCCATTCTATCAAAAGTCTCTCTCAACCTGTTCCCTCTGAACATGGCTTTCTTTAGAAAAGCTAACCAAAAACACCCCTGGGACTCAAAAGACCTGCAGACAGTTCTCGACTCCACCACAGACTGGCTGTGTGATGACAGAACAGCCTCTTTGGCTCTCGCACACCAGTTACCCTCCTGTGCTATAGGGATAATAGCACACCAAGTGTCACAAGGGCATTCCAAGAGGGCTTTCAGATGCTGTAAGAGAGGAGGCACCTGCACCTTAGCTGGACAGACTTGTAACAGTAGAGAAAGACAGACAGCAATGCCAGCTGTGCATCCTATTCCATAGCTCGTATTCTTCGGTATCATCTGTCCATGCACCATGTTCAGCACCCACCTCAAAGCAGCCATGTTGGAGATAGACGGCGAGCGGGACTGCATGCTGGGCGACGACACTGATCTGCTCTGGCTGTGGATAGACGAGTAGTTCTGGAAAGGGGAGCCCACAGGAGAGTCTCCTTTTGAGAGGCTTCTGAGATGAGCAGTCAAAGAGCTGCTGGTGGCCACGTGCTGCGGTGTGCCCATCTGCTCCGAGAACTTCAGCACCGTGTTCTGCTCCTGGGAGAGAAAAACAGAGCTGTCTGTGCACAAACAGCACATGGGCAGTAACTGCCAGGAAGACACTCAAATAGCTTGTTTCATCAGTTCGGTGTTAAAAATTTATGCCTAGGTAGATGCTCAGCCTAAGAAGTTATTCCTGCCAACCATGCTGTCTCACTCCCAGCACAGAAACTATCCCTATGGTTTTCAGGCACTAAGTTGTTTGTCACTTTTCTTACAGAACACAACAGTTTAAGCAGAGTCAAAACCTTCTAGTACAATATATGGAATATCATGATAAGCACAGTATACTTCACGACCATCACCATCATGTGATCTCCCTGACTGTGGTACAGGCAAATACATGAAAGAAACTATTAAAAAAAAAACCCCCACACCAACAAACATCTTACTCTCTTATAAATAAAATAAATTGCAAATACCAGGCATTTCTAACGCACACAGCCATAAGGGCACGTAAACACACACAAAGATTTTTGATAATGACGTTTAGTCAACAACGAATTTGTACCTCTGGCTTTACTCTCCGAAGAGCCCAAACAGTATGTAAGCTCTGCACAGTATCATAGGTCATCACAATGGAAGGTTCAGCATTGAGGAACACGATCCTCAAGGTGTAATCAGCAACGTACTGCACTCTCGCAGAACCAAACACGCCTGCTAAAGAAGCAGTTAACTTCAGTTAAGGTGAAAGGATCATTTCTACAACAGTGTTGTCAGTTACAGGGTTAGCATTTCTCATACCCTCTTTCTTCTGCAAGCTAGGTTTCTTTCCTGAACAGTAAGCAGCTAAAACAACCCACTTCTGAATTCTTGAAAAAGAGTGATTATTTGCAGATTTTTTAATACAGAAAACGCTCAAGTGACACATTAAGCGTTTGATGCCACACCAATGGACTCGAAGTGAGACATCTAAAGATGTAAACCTACCTCCAGACTTACAGATGAGGGGTGTTATCTCATCTAATGGGTGTAGCATGCTGAACATAGTAGGCAAAGGTTCTCTAGAAAGAAACCAAACAAAGCATGTTCAAAAACCAAATGCTAACAAGCATAATTGTTCTCTCTTGTAGCTGGTACATGTGCTGTGATCCCAAAACAGCTCCTCAGACCTTAACAAATCAGAGCCTGAAATCTAACAGTAGAGACATACATTCCGTTCACAGAAGCCTGTTGGATTAACTGAGTAGAGTCGGACAAAGGCTGGTGTATCAAACAGGATGATTAGGTCTTGTTTTCCATCTTCCCAAAGCACTTGAGAATGACCCCACCTGGTGGCCACACGACAGGCTTTGGCTGGCCCCAACGAACAGAGGTGGCACCAGACCAGTTTGGAGGAGAATTAGGAAGAGAAAGCCCTTAACCCAGACTCAGCTTAAGAGTTTAGGTTCCACAGCTCCCAGGTCCCAGACAAGCAGACAGCCATCAGGTCATTTGTATCCATCACAGAGCAGCAACCAAGCCACCCATCTGTGGTGGCAGCAGCAAAAGGAAGAATTTTCACGGAAGGCCAGCTTGAGTAGGGTCAATCGCGATTTTTGCAATGTACCCTTTTGAACACTTTTAGGACCTCTATTTCTGATCCCAACTCTTCTGAGGACTAGAGAATCACAGATGCCTGGAACGGACACATAAAGCCCAAGAGAGAGCAAGTGGCTGTATTAAAGCTGCTCATCAGCACACTATTCAACTCCTTACTCTGCTTCTCAGCTGTACGCCCAGCCACAGAGCACAGGGTCTACGATCCTCACCAAATAGGTAACGGGATGCTCCGTACATTTAAAGCATCCTGCAGCTGAGAGAAAATGTCTCAATGACAACCCCTCAGTGAATCTCCCAGTCATCCATCACAGCCTGGAACCAATTCCCAGGACAAACCTTAATGAAATCAGACTAGTAACACCCATATTGTGCCTCCCATATCCTATTCCCATGATCACCACCACTCCCAACTAGTTCTTAATACAGTATCAGAGGAATATCATGTATTATCAGTATTCAGCCCCTTCCTGATGTTTCACGTGATTTCACCTGTTCCCATCACGAACAGACAGATCCTTTCATTATTGCTGTTCACTCTTGCACTCCTGTATTAGATTAGCAAACAGTCCATAACGGAACAAAGCCACTCATTACATACCTGGGTGGACTTGGAGGTACTTCATGTGAAGAACTGCTGCGCTCAAATAACAAACCATATTTTGTTGGCCAGACGTTTGCGACCTAGAAAAAGTTACAAATGTATTTACAACAAAAAAATTAAGTACTTCCTGTATTATGTTTCACATTTGAGTATCTCATTGTAACAAATAACGATGTTTAGGCCTTTTTTTGAGAGAAGGGTAATGCAAATTGGAGCAGGTTCTCAGACTACGAAGCGGTCATACCCGTACTTTCCCACGTCATACAACTGGCTGCCACTACTTCCAGAAGTATTCGATGCCCTGACCACACAGCCGCGCTTTCATTAGCTTTGTCGCTTTCACCCACAGAGTGAAGAACTTGGGCAGCCACCACCAGCAGTGCTTTACGCACACCTCCCCACCCCACCCCAGCGTGCAAACAGGTCACAAGCCCATTTGTGGACGAACAAAGGACAGCACTTACCTGAAAAGGTAAAGCAGCAATGTAATCCTTTCCCTCTATGCTATGCACATTTATACAGGAATTCTGCAATATGCAGATACATTTCTCTACTATTTCATCACTGTCTGAAACCGGGGGGAAAAAAAAGAAAAAAGAAACCCACGGTAAAGTTTCTCTCTTTCCTTAGACATCCTCTATACACAAAAGGTAAACTTGAGGGGGGGGGTGGCTGTCTTAGTATAGCAAGTCTTGATGACTAAACTTATACCAAGAGAGCTGAACTCAAAACATTGGTCTGGCATTACAGTAAGCAGGAAACTTACCATCAGCTTTTTCAGATTTTTCCTGGGGTATAGTGAAGTCGCACCATAAGGCCTAAAACCAAATACAGCACGATTATTTCTGAAGAACGAGCTGATGCCACCACACAATCTCATCTTTCCGTATTTCCCAAAATAACCCCACCCCAGAACACTGTTTGAAAACGGTCAGCGAGCATTTTTTAGCTAACGTGCATTCATTCAGTCGCCACCTCTCCACGTTTTCATACCTGCAGAACAGGGCTGTCGACAGTGAAAGCTTTATAAACGGTAGACGCTTGGTTTTTACTTCCTTTGCTCCAGATGACCATATTGCTGGCCACGTACAGCTCTTCATCGTAGTCCACCTCTTCCCCGACATCACTGACGCCTTTCCTCAACTGCCAACTTTCCTGAAAACCAAGATTTTTTTTTTTTTAAAGGAAAAGTTAC